GCGGGGAGGCGGGGGGGGGGCGGGCCCCGCCGGACTAGCCGCACGACTCACGGCAGGCTTAGCGCCCTCTGCCGGGCAGGCCGCCCAGAACCTTGCAACCACGCCCGGGAGGTACCGTCTGCACCGCCTCGCCTGGTCCTCGTCAGCCACTGTCGGGAGGGAGATGTCAGTGTGTGTAGTGACTCCGATTTGTAACTGGATCAGACTTTAGAGGAGTAACCACCGTTCTTCCTGCTCCGCCCATTTCTTCCTTCCCGGTAAAAATCCCGGCACTTCAAAAACGGAAACTGTGCCTTTCTATTTTTCTTATGGGCACGCACGCACACGCGCCCAGCGTGTTTTAAGTCACTGGGTCCGGGACCCGAACCGCGGTCGACTACATGGGAATCCAGCGACATAGCCATTACACTAACTTCTGGTCCCGCCTGTGGCTTTCTATTTTTAGAGATTTTTTAAAAAATTATTTTTCCTTTAACATTACATATACTATGAACACTTTGGAAATGTGAAAAAATGTTAGATCACAATTTGCAATTTTTTTCCAGTCTTTCACTTCATAATTTTAAACATGAAACATATTTTTACTCTATTCTATTTTATTTTCTCTCTTTTTTTTTTTTTGAGAGGTTTTCGCTATAGGGCACGTGCGCTCGCCAGACAGAGAGAGACATAGAGACAGAAAGCGAGAAATCACCCCCCAGGGGGGATGGTCACGCTGCAATCCCTTCTCCTCCATTCTCCTCTCAGGACCTTGGGCACACACGCACACGCGCCCGGCGTGAGTTCTAAGCCACCGGGTCGGGGACGCAAACCGCGGTTGACTACGTGGGAATCCAGTGACATAGCCATTACGCTAACTGCTGGTTCCCTCTATTTTATTTTCTCTTGATAATTTGTCATCTGCATTATTTTGTGATGTTCTGTTATCTGCACAACAGTCATTTTAAAGAAGGAATTGGGGATTCGGGAAGGGGGAGGAAGAAAAGTGGATGGCAGGGTTGTTTTTGGGTGTGTACAAGCTTCTTGGAAAGCCGTTTTCTTCTTAGAGATTTTAAGTAAAAATTGTAAGGGGCTATCGTTTTGAACTAAGCCCTAATGGACTAGATTGAAATTCAAGGTAGAGTCCCTCCCATCTCAGTGTCTCACAGTCACCAAGCCAAATTAAGCTTTAATCCGATCCTCAGAGAAATCAGAAGATAACAGCCTACTTTTCCAAACAGAACAGTTCTTTTTCTTTTCTTTTTTTTTTTTTTTTTTTTTTTTTTTTTTTTTTTTTGTTTTTTCCTTCAGGTTCTGGTCTCCCACGGAAAAAAATTTTTTTTTTTTTTTTTTTTTTTTTTTTTTTTTTTTTTTTTTTACTTTTTAGTTTTGCCATCAGGTGCATGTGCTCCCTGGAGAGAGAGACAGAGAAAGTGAGAAATCAGTCCCCGAGGGTGGGGGTTTGGGGGTGGAGGACGACCATGCCACAATCTCTTCTCTTCCATCTCCTCTTGGGATTTTGGGCACTCACATACATGTGCTGGTGTGATTTTCAAGCTGCTAGAGCCAGGATTTGAATTTGTGCAGTTGGCCCTGTGAGATCCAGCTGCCATTTAACCTCCATACCACCTGCTGGTGCACTAGTCCAGTTTTTATTTGCTTGTTTTCGTAGAGGTTTTTACCTTAGGGTGTATTTGCTTGCTAGAGAGAGAGAAAGACAGAGACAGTTGAGAGGGAAAGTGAGAAATCACCCACCAGAGAGGATGGCCATGCCTCAGTCCCTTCTCTTCCATTCTCCTCCCAGAATCTTGGGCATGCACACACACGTGCCTGGCGTGGGTTTTAAGCCACTGGGTTCGGGACTCAAACTGCGGTCAACCATGCAGGAGTCCAGCAACATACCCACTATGCCATCTCCTGGTCCTACAACAGGCCAGTTCTAAACAGCATGTTAATGACTAAAAACTGTTACAGTGGTAAGGTAACTGGATCCATGGAAGGTTCCAGATTTGCTCTCTGAGGCCGCCCTGGGCATGTCTCTGATCGAACTGGCTGAGTGTAGGGGAGAATGGCAGTACAAAGACCCTTTTATGGGTGCCTGCCTCGCTCTCTCTCTCTCTCATGAAATAAATAAGTAATTTTTAACTCTAGAAACGATGGTTGCCCCTGGAGGTTTAAAGGCAGACACTGGCTGGGAAGGTGCTGGGGTAACGATCATGTATATTTTGCTAGGAGTTTAGGTTATGTATTTTTATGCATAAGGTTATGCAGGTGTATGCATTTTTCTCAGAAAACGTACTTAAGATTTTTGCATTTCATATTATGCTAATACTATCTCAAAAAGGGAAAAAAAAGGTAAAAAAAATTAGTCTGTAGTCATTTTCATGTTGAAGTGTTTAGGGAAAATTGAGCTAATGTATGCAATTTTCTTTGAGATGCATCCAGATATAAAATAGATTGATGAATAGAAAAAGGGATGAATGAATGACGGTAGTCTAGCAGTAAAGGGAGCTGTATCCTACATGGCCAACTGCTGTTCAGATCCTGTCCTCTACAGCTTGAAAAACACATCAAGGAGCCAGCAGGTGGCATAGTGGTTATGTTACTGGAGTCCCACATGGTTGACCGTAGTTCAAGCCCCAGACCTGGTAGCATGAAAATCATGCCAGGTGTGTGTGCGTGTGTGCCCAAGATCCCAGGAGGAGAATAGAGGAAAAGGGACCGAGGCATGGCCATCCCCTCTGCAAGGTGATTTTTCACTTTCCCTCTCACTGTCTCTGTTTCTCTCTGGCAAGTACACATGGCCTATGGCAAAAGCCTCTAAAAAGAAAGAAGAAGGAGGAGGAGGAGGAGAAGAAAAGAAAACATCAGGTGCATGAGTGTGTGCACTCCAAGTCCTGACAGGATGGAGAAATGAAGGAAGAAGGATGGTGGTGTGACCATGCCATTAGGGGGTGTCTTTTCCCTCTCCGTCTGCCACTCCCTCTCTCTGGTGAGGGCCTGTGCTCACAGAGGAAAAAAATCAATAAAGAAAGAGGAAGAGAGAAATAGATAGACACAACAATGCTAGCATTATAGTAAGCTGTTAACAGAACACCAGTACATTTTCTCAGGTTTCCTACACGTTTGAAAAAAAATCTCTTTATTCATTATATAATGCAGACTCGCACATGAGAGAGAGAGAGGGAGACAGAGAGAGAGGGAGACAGAGGAGAGAGATGAGCACCCTCTGCAGAGCCTGGCCATGCTGTGATCACCTTCCTCTATCACTCCTCTGCCTGTTGAATCTGGGGCACCTGCCTGTGCACCTGGTGTCTTTCAGGATGACTGAGGTAGAGAATCAAACCGTGGGCAACACATGTGGGATATGGCGTTACCACTGTGCTATGAAGCCAGTTATGACTTTTTTTTTTTTTTTGGAGAGGTTTTTTGTTTGTTTGTTTT